TTTTAGCACTTCCTAGCAGTGTTCTGTTTGGAAGAAGTATTCCATGTCATGGACTCTGAGTCTGGGGGCTATAGACATGACATGCCTTCCCCCTAATCCCTGAGGCCTGAAATGATGTGAGCTATAGTCTAAGCCCCTCGAAGGAGGGTTATGGGAGATTAGATGGGGAGTATTGTAGGGGCTATTAAGGAGGACACTAGGAGTTCAGACTCTAACCCCTATAATCCCCTATATAATTCCAGTTTCCATTTCATTTTCCCAAACTTTTTTGCATTTGATTCTCCGCTATTAAGGGGGATACTAGGAGTTTAGGCAATGGCTCATATAGGCTTCTGGAACTTGAAGATGACTGGGGCTTCGTTGGAGACACCTCCATCCAGCGTCGTCACGGCTTGTCATGGATACCTAAGCCCCCCCAAATACGTAAGATAAAGGCTCAAAGCCACCCAAAACAGCCCAAACACAATTCTTTTGCTTACTTTCGGGGTTCGTTCAGGTACTTCTCGATTTGGCCATCATATAATTTATATAACCCCATAAAGCAGTTCTTGGTGTAGGATTTCCATTAGGCGCCTCCATACCTTCAGCAACCCTCACATTGACATGCCGCTTGTACTTCAGGGTAGGCTGTTCGCGCAAGAGGTTTCTTGTTTTGCCTGGCTCGGTCTTGCAGAGTTTGCATTATGAATAGAAGGCAGCTGATGAAGTCTTGACAGTTCTACAACAACAAGGCAATAAGGCAGCTGAGGTCACCAGCACCCTCAGACCTCCCTTAGGCAGCATGAAGCTGGTGAATTCTCACCTCTGTTGAGTGCTCCATTTTCGGTGGAAACCATGGCGCTGCGATCCCTGACTGCAACTACACCTTTCAAGGTTAAGGGCTTACGGTCTGAGTCTTTATGACACAGAAGTAATTGCATTCGTGTGGTAGTCTCATTTTTCTTGCCCATCACGAACGGAGCCGACCATGAAAGCTGATTAGGGTTATGAGTCTTGTCTCATGGGCATGTGCAACAGTGAACTACCTGGTCTTTTCGCCCAATCGAAGACAGTGTAGCACCCCAAACTGCAGCCGAATATTGGCATGGATCTCAAACCTTACATCAACAAGAACCGGAAGCATGCGAGTTGGAATTTGGCATGAGAGTTTGTGGTGAAGAGGTCAGTATAGGAGTTTGCCCATGATTCTGATTCTTCAAATAGAAACCATTATGTGGCCCCTGTTCGATTCCGGTTTTTGCTAGTCGGGTGTCCCGCTGTGTCGAGCTGAATTGTCTTGTTCTTTCTTTAACTGGTGATGGTGTTCCAGCATGCTCCATTTTTGCTATCAGGGGTTCTCAGAATTAACCCTTATGCCCTTGACCCGCTTGACCCCAAGCCCCCAGAGCCGTAAAAGCTGGTGCCCTGAGCCCTAAACCCTAGAGCCCCCCCTTCAGTAGATAGAATATGACTTTGGGTATGTTATATTAAGATCCCCATGTACCCCATATTCTATCTACTTAAGGGGGACTGTAAACCCTAACTCAGGCTTGACGGACATGAGCTTCACTCCTGGGGTGGCTTGGCTAGAGAGGGGAGGGTTTAGGCAGGACCCCGACAACGTCTCCCAAACCTGGAAACCCAAAAGGGTTTCAGGAGGATTCATTTCACGTATTAAAAGTGAATGAACTCGGATTCCATGTTTGTATCTATCCAGAACCCGTAGAATTTTGCAGCGCCGCGTGATTTGTTTAAGGCAAAGCTGTCCCCGGACGCGGACTTGTCTGAGGTGGCGACAGCCAAAGCCTGAGCCAAATTGCCATCATGTAGAACTTTGGATACCGATTTCGGGTTCGTCACACTGATGGGCATGGGGAACCCGTAGCCCCCGCGTTCCACTCTTCGTATCGCACCTGGACCCTACAACCTCGAAGCATAGTCTCCACATGCGGCCTTGAGAAGATCCGCTCAGTAGTCGAGTCGATGCTTGTAATCTCCCTCCCCGAACATTAAACGATGCCCCACCCCAGTATTTCATCATCCAGGGCCCGAAGAAGAATTTGATGTGGGGCGGGAGGGGGGGAGGGGGGGAGGGGGGGGGGGCATTTATCGAAAGAATTAGTTAGCTCTGCCTTTAAAATCCTTTTCACCTCCATGGAAAGCTCACAATTACTGAGTGAAATCAGTTCATACGTCAAAGTAATGAATCTTTGAATATTGTTCTCAACTGAGTGTATTTGAATGTCAGCAAATTATACAGCCAGCCAGCAGACGCAGGCCAAAAGAGCAAATACAACAATAACTAGGTTAAGTTGGTCACAGGGATTAGAGGGCTTGTATAGGGTTATCTTAGGGCTTATTGGGATAATGGAAAACAAAATGGAAACTGCAAAAAATGTAGGGATCATATTAGGGTTTCTGCAAGAAGTCCAGAGTGCGTTTGACTTGTTCTCATTTGAATGCGGCAAACAAGCGCGAGCCTGTTTTGCTAATGGCCATTTGAGCGGTTCCCAAAATTGGGGTCCGTTTTTCGTACCCCTAAATATTACGTGCTGTAATATATTCTATAACCACCGAGGGCTCATAATTTTGAGAACAACCCATGTACTATGTACAAGTTGTGACGAGCACCTACCTGCCTCGCCCAGCAACGCGGCATCGATTTCTTCCTGGTGGCTTTCGTGGACTTGAAAGGCACCGACGGATTCAGTGCGGCCGAAAGTTGAATCCAAGTATGCCCTGCGGCATGATCCCATGAAGACTGTGAGGGTTGCGTTTTGCCTAAAAAGAAGCCCAAGTCAAGAAATGCCGAAACAGAAGGGAATATGGTAGTTTCCATAAATAGGGGACGGCAATATACACCCAACATAAAACATTCCTCACTCTGGGGATCCCAAAAACGGTGGTTTCCCAAGATAACGTCAGGGTTTTCATGTCATGGTTGGAGGAAAGGCCCGTCCTATCAAAACAAGATGGCTTTGACCATATAGGAAGCCCCAGACAACGTGAGGAAACTTCAGCCGCTTAATCAACAGTTGGGATTTAGGTTTAGGGTTGGCTGGGGATCAAGCACATCATACCACCCTTTTATGGTCGTAGAAGAAAAGTCAAGTAGCACTGTTGTTTTTCGAAGTATAGCTACCTAGGCCAGGCCGAACCCCATTGCGTTCTCCAGTCTTGGAATTGTGCTTATTCTGTAAACCGTAAACAATATAGATTCTTAGATATTCCTCAAGCTGTGCTGGCAGGCACCCTCCGCACGAAGATGGTCCCGGCCAGCGCCATCAAGCAGATTCAGCGCGACGGAGCCAATACGGGCAATACACTTGGGCCTGAAACTTTGTCACATGTGCAAGTGCTACTGTTGCATAAGCATCTGTGCTTGTGTACATCTGCTTCAGCGAATGCAATCCCTTTCGCGCTCCTTCACGCAAGGAGCTGGATTTGCTCCCGCTGCCACGCATATGGATTTCGGCGGCTCGACCAGAAATTTCGTGGGTTCAGAACACAGCACAACAAACAACAGCACAAGGGGACCAGACTTTGTGTACACAGAATTTGAATGCGGTGTTGTGCTTTCATAGCAAGGAGCAGTCATGGCGCAACATGGAAGTAAAAGGTGTGTGCCTTTGGAGAAGGGTCTGACACAAGGGAGGCCAGGGTATATCGATGTTGCAGGTACAAGTATCTTACCGGTACAGACTGTAGTATCCCTGCATTCAAGAGAAGGATGGTCAGCATGCTTCCAAAACAGCTATCATTATCCTTTTCCTTCAAACTGCAATTAAAATCTAAACCCTAAACCCTGAGCTTGGGCAATCATAGCCAAGGACCAGAAGCCGCAGACATGATGCTTGGATGGATGGATATATATATATATATGGGCTTATTTTTGGGTTACATTGCGATAATGAAGAGACAATGGAAACTACTGTATTATAACAGGGAATGTATAGGGTTATATTGGGGTTATATCATGTGCGCCCACGGAACCCCCTGCGGCACGTTCACGATTTTGGCTGGGTCGAGGGAGGGACCTGTAACTTGCATGAAATGCTTGCGTAGATATGTTTTAGCTGACGCTAGGTGCGTGCAAGGATGTAAACATGGGCTTGCAGTGGATTCAGAAAATGAAGTCAGGGCAAGTTCAGCTGGCGGTGAGCAACCAGGGCGTGCCGTGCGTGGGCTCATGTACAGCTCATCAGCCGTGATTATCATCCACACCTTGGATACTGAGGTCAAGGCATACCTCGAGAAGGCTTAGGACTTCTAATGCAAAAGACAAGGGATTCTGCTCCTAATGCGTTGCAGCAATGGCGAGATAATTTGGTCTCGACTGAATTCCGAAGACTCTGCCTTTATCAACTTTCTCAAGGGACGTGCCAGGACAGCCTATGGACTATGAACATTCTTCTAAGCCCTTATCCTGGTTTTGATCCTATCTTGATGAGCTGATGATGCCGGATTCGCTGAGGATTGTGAAGCCCGATGCCAGCACGCTGCTTCAGGCACCTCATGTTACATCAGGGGTCATGTATTGTGGAGGCTTGTCTTGAAACTAGTGGCACAATGTAAACTACAGAAAAGCAAGCAGCCTTCAAGCTAAGAGGCTGCCAGAAAGGAGCTTTTGGACAGCCTCACAGCGAGGTCGTTGCGGGCTTCAGAATATGTATAGATACAGGGTATTACCTCGATGCACAAACTGTCTATAATAGTGGCCTTATATACTGCAATGATTCTGCTTCTGGCAAATCGGAGTTTTGGATAAGTCGTGTGGGATTTTGGGCGCCTGGGGTCGTAGGGTCAAATTCGCGCAGCTAGCTCCTCATGAACTGTGCTGCTCTATGGGCAGAGGTGGTCTATTGCAAGGATATTCCCAAAAGGTTCTTCATGAATTGCAACCTACATTCTGCAGAGATGAGGAAGCAGTGGGAAGATCCAAGACAGCGCTGAGACTTTGGAACTCATGCGCCTGAACTCCAATTCCCTCTGGCCTTCGTCAGGTTCCATTCCAAACAGAGATGGCTGTGGTCATGGGAGACTGTTACATTGAAGGCTGCACGGGAATCCGCTATTTGCTATCCGGATCACATGAGTACAAAGTTCCGCATGCGTACGTTGCAGGATGTTCCAGGCATGAGAGAAGTTCACAAAGCGCATGTAAGGAAGAAGTTGATGAGCCTACCTTCGATATGTGTTAAGTTCTCAAAAAACAAAAGGGATTGTCGGCAAAGTTTGGGTTTGGTCTCAATGAAGTCTTGCGGAAAATGCCGGGTCTGAGACAATCGTGGAGGATTGTGCGTCATGAAGTTGAGGGGCCATAGCCACGTATCGAATGCGTCGGACTCCTTGCAGGGCTGTGTATTCGGGGATGTCACTTCATAGGATGCCATGCGTTGGCAAAGGATCCGAAGAGCCGAGGACCATACATCGATTCCGAATAGATTTGTTGAGGGTCCAAACCTGTAGCAATGTAGCATTTGCTTAGGGACAGGAACAGATGCTACATGGGTATCCATATGCTGAGCCAGCTGAGTCCTTTGGGGCCAACGTATCTACTACACCATCTAAGAGACCCTTCTGTCCGGAACCGTCTCCCAGAGACCCTCCTTCCGGTGGTACCTTTCCTAAGAGGGAACTCCTGGCACCCGCTATGGAGTAGCATGCTATTGGTGGGGCTTCTGAATGAAGTGCTAAGTAGCTCTCGATCGAAAGCCCTTCGAGGTGTCGAGGTTCTCCAGTCGCCTCGGGCGGTACTCCGGAAGCAGATTGCGGAAATCAAGAAGCGCGGCTATGCAGCTGGGACGTGTTTGGTTGCGAATCCCAGTGGATTTACAGTTACAAATTGAAGGTGCCACATATTCTTGCAAAGGGGCGCGGATGATAGTTCGAAATCGATGCAGATATCATAGCAAAATTGCTGGTGCATTGTGGAGCAGAATACCTGAATCCTTTGGACCTGAAATCATTTGTCCCCTTTTGTGTGGCCCCTAAAGAGGATGTTGTGCATTGTCAGAGCACCCCTACAAATACTTACAGAATGTTGTTGAGATGGTAGATTGCTCTCGCATGGCTGCCTTCCTCTGCCACAAGTTGGATTTAGGGTCTGGGGTTTAGGGTGTTTTAGCCCTAGTTATATTGTCCAAGAAGCACAGATCCCTTTTGGGCATCCTTTCAGCCGGAGCCTACGCTGACCTTCCATGGGGTGCAGCTGAGGTCTTCAAGACTGGCGTGGAGGCAGCTGATGTGCGAAGACAACTCAAAATGAAGATATCATATGCAGACGGGGGCAAGCAGAGGGATCATTGCTACTACCGGCCCTTGCACTTTGCAAAGTTTGTGCTTGGGCTTAGCTTGGGGAGGGTCTTGTTCTCCACTCCAGAACATTAGTCACTAGTTGAAAAATATCTTCTGAAACAATCCGTGTATGATGGGTACTTGGTAGAACACTTGCTCTTATCATTCGGGGTTTAGGAAAGTGGCCGCCAATGTTTTTGAGTCTTCGGCAGCAAGCCAGCTGGGGATGTTGCTGGGTGGGGGCTGCATGTGAAGTTCAAGCGTTAATGCAGTGGGCTGAGAAGCCTAAGGGAGCTCTGCGAACCGCAGCACCTCCCAACTTTGTTGAAGCTTCAAATATAAATTCGAGCATCTCTCTGAAGTGACTGCATCTTCAAATCCAGAGGTGATCTTAACCTGTTGCAAATTATAGTTTGGCAAGGACTGGTATGCTGTCAATGTACCAGACTGCGGAACCTTATTTGGTCAGCTATGAAGAGACTCCATAAAAAAAAAAAAAAGAGACCTCTAACCTGTCTAACCCATACATCCCAGGTCTACCTGGCTGCAAAAGTCAGATGAATTTGGGGTTGCATGGTTGACTAGGCCTACTGGGGCTTAGTAGGAAATATGGGAATATCAAATAGATAGGGATTATGTATGTAGGACCTTTAGGGTCTATGTGAGAAACAGGTTTTTGTATAGGCACAGACCAACCATTTCATCCATT